GAATTTCGGGGCATTATGGCAACGTTCCGACGAACTATTATTAGAACTTTTGGGATATTTTATTGATAATTGGTGCTTAAAGTTTTTGTTTATTGTGTTTCAGGTACAAATCGAAGACAAATTGAATAAATAGAGGGTCAAAACTGCAATTTAGAAGAAAATGTGGGTGAAAAGTGAAGAAGTCAAAAGTCTGAAGGACAAGAGCCCATACGGTTGTTCGAGAAATACACTTGGAATTCGGAAGGCCATCCGAATATTCTCCTTGGAGGAACAAAGTTTTTGGATTGCAGACGGCCGTCTGGAATTATAACTGAAAATCCAGACGGCCGTCCGAGATGGCGGAGAGGCGCATTAAAGGACTTCTAATTGCACAAGGCAATTGCCTTCTTCCCCAACTTTTCCACATTTTTAAAAGATCAACTCAAACACACAATTGGGAGTCCTCTTTTTACGCAATTTCGAGAGCAAAGAAGCAATAACGAAGACGAAGAATTCGAAGACACCAAGCATAGTTTATCTTTTCATGAATTATTATTTTGCTTTTAATTTAATCATGAGTAGCTAAACTCTTTATTTCTAGGATTTTATTTTGAACCCTATGTGGGATTTATGAACCCTTTCCCATGATTTTATGCAAGTTTTAATTCCGAATTATTTCATCTATTTGTTTTATTAAGTGCATGAAACTAGACATTTTATGTGCTTTTCTGTTATTGTTAATCGCATGAATCGGAAAATGGGGTTAATAATTAGAACTTGGGTAGAAGAGCCTTTATAGTATTAGCATGGGAATATAGTTAATCTCTTAGGTAGCCAATATTGAAATTTGTGCTTCGTGTTGTGTTCTAAATTTAATTGCGTAGGAATACAGTAATTCAATCTAGAGTATTGGAATCGTAATACACGCGGAAGCGGGTTATGATTAATTTAGCATCTCAAGTTAGTAATCCGATTTAATAACTTGCATAATTGAAGGAATTGGGGAATTAATAATTACATAGGGGGGAGAATAAGATCCTAAGCTTGTTTTCTCTGAATAATCTGTTGGAACCACGGTTGTAATTTGACGATTGATCACAAAACTTGTAGATTGAGGCGTGTACTCCATTTGTTCTCTAATTTTATATGTAACAAGTTGTTGCGATAAAAACCACGATAATATGGAGATAGGCAAGGTGAGGCGCGGACTAGGTCGCTCTCTTAAGACGAATTTCACGACCCCTTCTCTAATGAGGTGCAAAAAGGTTCCGATCGTGTCGCCTATGGGATACAACAGCCCAGTCTATCTCTCCGCTGTAACTTCACCGAAATTGCACGTTCGAGTGAAGTAGAAGTTTACACCCGACACACAACAAGAGTTCAATTTATGTATATAATATAGAAGAAAAGTATTTCTTTTATCTTCTCTTGTACTCTCTTCTCTCCTACATTTACAAAGCTACAAAATTCCCCTTTATATAGTATAAATTATGAGCACCATAAAACCTCTATTTAATATAGAATTAAAGGAAATTATGGAGGTTTTATGAGGCAAAATAAAGTCTTTGTAGGTTTTAAAATGTTGGTCCAAATGACCTCATAAATTGGTAAAGAAAATATTTAATAAAATATTATTTTTATTAAAAAAAACCCAACATAATCTTTGTGTTTAATCACTTTCTTGTTCGTGCCCTGTTAATTTTCTTTAATTTAGTTTAGTTAATTTAGTTTAATTAATCAACTTTCGACTGTGTAGGATGGACTTGAACATAATTGGCAGAATTTAGCGTTTAGCATTAGATAATTAAATTTTATATGTGGCCATGGTCACAATATGATATATGTCGTCTCGTAATATATTTGTATGCGTATGGTAGATTTAGCGAGCTAGATGAGCTCTATCTGAAGGAGTGGTTATGCCGTTTTACTAACTATAGATGGCATTAAACGATCACCCAATAAATATACATACACATGCGTGTGTGTGATTATGTGTAAATTTACGGCTACCAATAACCCAATGTAAAATCTAATTACTTGTCACATAATACGCTTACAACCACATGACATAATACGATTAATGTTTTACCGTGCTTGTTCGGTTAATCATGAATCACATTTTTCAATTCTTTTGTAGGACTTTAATTTTCGAAATTTGAACAAAAGTGATGGAGAGATGGTGATTGAAGATACTAGAGATTTGTTCTTGAATTGAGTAATTTAATACCGTAATTGCTGTATTTTTTATTTTACAAGTACAAAGATATTATAATAATAACCTTTTATGTAAAGGCGGCAGATATATGCAAACCCACAAATCTCTTTGTACAAAACAACAAACATAAAATTAGTAATTTACTCTTAATGAAATTCGACACCAAATTAATACAAAAAAAAAATAGAAAAAAAAATCATTTCCTTTGTGCAAGTCCAAATAAAATAAACCTACAAACACACTCATCATTTCACAATTTAAAAATCTCCTCCTCCTCCTCCTCCTCCTCCTCCACAAATCCACCAAGAATCCTAAACACCAAAACAATCAAATAATCACCAAACATTCACAATGGAGTCGGAAAACAAGGAGATGGTGGTTTATGAGGATAGCAAACGTAATAAGATGTGTGTTGATCGTTTATTTTAGCTTGTTTTTTTTTTTTGAAAAAAAAAATCACCGATACCAAAAATCGGTATTCACAGTCCGCTTTTTTAAAAAATAATCGGTATTCATGTGCCGATTTTACAAACAAAAATCGGTATTATAGTGCCGATTTTTCCAAAAAAAAAAATCGGTCTGAATATGCCGACTTTTTCAAAACAAATTGGCGCGTACACGCTGTTTTCCCAGCTCCGATTTCAATCACAAAATTTAATCCTAAATCGACAACTACCCAACAAGAAAAAAACATCTATTAATGTTCACCACGCATATTTATCAAGGAATTAATGCTCGTTTTCAAGGAATCAATGTTCGATTAATGTTTTCGAATTTACCTACAAAAAGTTTAGTATAAAAAGTGGTGGGTTGGTAGTGGTGTGCAAGTGGGTGGGTTGTATGTAGGTGTCGGTGCGGTGGCAATCTCCCTGGTCGGTGTCGCGGCGGTGGTGCGGCGGCGACGGGTCGGACATTTTTGTTTTGTTTTGTTTTGTTTTGTTTTGTTTTTTCTTGATTGGTCTTGAACAAATTAAAAATAGGATTTTATGGTTTGTGTTTGTATTTTGGTAGTATTTGTGGATGAGGGCATATTCGTCCTCTTTGGTCTTAATATAAGAAAATTAAATAAATTTGTGGGCTTAATGTAAGGAATCATTTTGTGTTTGAACAAATAAAAAATTGAGCTTGTAATCTTGTATATATCCGCCGCCTTACGTAAAAGTGTATTTTTTAAGAAAAAGATGGTCTTCAATTTAGCATTTTATGAACTTGCATATAGCAACCCCGATTGATTAAATTTATAACTAATTACATTTTACACCCCTAAAGTATAAGGATGGTAACACTTAGCCGTTAATTTTACGCCCCGAAATAAATAATTTATTTCTTAAAATTCAATTCACACAATTAAAGTCCTATATTCCTCTCCAAGAAAAGAAAATGAATTATGATTTCAATATGTTTCTCTTTATAATTAGTTAACAATATATCTGCTTGTTCTTGAAAATAATAATAATAAAAAATATAAACTCACGAATGAAATGAATTTTCCCCATCAAAATTCAACTAACTCGAGGAAAATATTGAAGCATAAAATATTCATAAATTTTTTTGTAACTATTCTAGAAAACTGATTAACTCTAGTTTTTTTCTTTTCGCTATTTCAACTAGTGGTACTGTAGGGCCAATTTTGAAATCGAAAATTAGGGCACTCCTTCAATTAATATTATTTAATAAATTAGTTGAATTTTCAAACATACATTATTTTCAGCTATTTTGTGAAATAATAAATAGATTTTTTTTGAAAACTAAACGTATAAAGTGATTATTAAGGATTAGTGGTAGTGTTTCATGATTATTTATTAGTAACATCAATGTATTTTAAGATTTAGAATGTCAATTAAATGTATTAAAAGGGTATAAGAGCATTTGCAAATGCCTAATATTTAGAATGCCACATAGGATATATTAAGATTTTTATTAAAAAATTATTTTCAATGCAAATCTTAACAAAAATCTCTAAGTGATGTGGTAATGAGGTCGCACTTGTGATCTTAGAGATTCTTAAGATGACACTCTGAAATTAGACTGTCGTCGTCTTAAGGGTCTCTAAAGTGGCCAAGTCATCATTTAATATAATTTTTCTTTTAAAAAATTAAGATAATTAAATTATCTTAAAACTGTAAATGAATTTCATCATATCTCTACTCTTATTCCACCTTCTTCTACACTACACTATTTTGTTGGAGTTATATTTCTATGAAGATTCAACTTTTAGGTAAAAAAAAATTAATTGTTTACTTAATTTGTTTTAACAATAATTTTCTCAAACTTTAATCAATTAAACTCATGTGATTCCTCTGACCTAAAACAAATGAGTCATACGACGTACGTGCGATTTATAGAAATTACTAGTTTTTATACAATATATGTTCATGGTTTAACAAAAGGAAAAAAAATATCATCAATTTAAAATTTGTTCATTAAAATATTTAACTAATGAATGTTCACAAAAAAGAAATCCTATATGCTTCTTTTTGTCTCTCTTCAAATAAATTTGAATAAACCCTACTAGTATTAAAGCGGGAATGAAAAGATTTCTCTTTTTGGTGGAACAATTTTTTTTTAATAAATTACTAATTTTAATTTTAAAACCCAATAATAAATTACATAAAAATATTTGAGTCTTGAATGTTGCATTGGAGAAGACTTTGCAGTATAAAATTTAAATCTTGCCAAATAGGATGGAGAAAATTTTAAGATTTATATTTAGTACTTGACACGTAAGATTTTTAGAATTTTTCTTGAATCGGAGATGTTCTAAGTATTAAAAAAATTAAAAGAATAAGTGTTACATATATAACACATACTTTCCAAATATATATATTTAAACCAAAACAAAAATAATAAAACCAGAATGATACCTTCAGTACTTGAGGGCAATTCTGTCATTTGGATGTAAAAGTGGCAAAAAGGAATATTTGTAACCAATAGTAAAACTCTAGGGGGGGAAGTGTTACTTTTGTAAAATTAGGGGGGCAAGGGCTGCCACCCCAATACTTCAGGGGTGTAAACTGTAATTAACCCTTAAATTTAACCCATGTGGAAACCCTTCTTCAACTTCCTCAAATATGAATCCAGAAAATAAAATTAAAACGAAATTAATAAATTCGAAAAACAATGAAATTCACGAAATCGCCGGAGATCGAGCTGTCCGTGCACGACACGCGCCTCTCAATCCAGCAGGACAACGCCTCGATGCACGTCGGCACCTCCGTGTGGCCTTGCTCCTTAGTCCTCGTCAAGTTCGCCGAGCGGTGGGACCCACTCAGATGCGCCGCCGCGGACAACCCTTACAGGGACCTCTTGAGCTTCACCGGCAAGCGGGGGATCGAGCTCGGCACCGGCTGCGGAGCCGCCGCCATGGGTCTCTACCTGCTCGGGCTGCACGACGTCGTTCTCACCGACATCGCCCCCGTAATGCCGGCGTTGAAGCACAACCTGAAGCGGAACAAATCGGCGCTGAAGAAAACCCTAAAAACCGCGCAGCTGTACTGGGGGAACGAGGAGCAGTTGAAATCGATGAAGCCGCCTTTCGATTTCGTGATCGCCGCCGACGTGGTTTATCTGGAGGAGACGGTGGCGCCGCTGATTAAAGCGATGGATTATCTGGTGGCCGAAAACGGCATCGTTTTGCTCGGCTACCAATTGAGGTCGCCGGAGGCAGATGAGATGTTCTGGCAAATGTGCCCCGATTTTTTCGATGTCGAAAAGATTCCGCACGAGCATTTGCATCCGGATTACGCTTACGAGGAGTCCGACATGTACGTATTCCGGAAGAAGAAGAAGAATACTTGAGCAGAATTCTTGAAAGGTCCAATTCATTTTTGTTTTTTTTTTTCGTTTTATCGATAATTTTATTCCGAGTGTGTGGTGTTTTGTAATCGTAGAGGAAGAAATATGTTATTTGCATCTTGAATTTGAATTATAGATATAGCATAGTCGAAATAGTGATCTTTGTGTGTTCGATTTTGATTTTTATTTAGCTATGATCGTAGCGAAAAAGTTTTGTGACTCGAGTAATTCCAATACTAATGCAGATTTGTTGAAATTAGTTACGATTTTTTTATGATTTTGGCATTTCACCATTTTTTTCATTGAGTTAGAATGCGGAGAATTTTCTTTATGTACACATCCTTAAACGTAGAATTATTGAAATTACTTGTCCGAGTTTGATTTACTTAGAATCACCTTGCTTGAAGGTTATTCGATTTAGGCCTCGTTTGGTTGGGGAGATTAGCCATGATTAACTAAATAATTGGACTTTGTTTGATGTTTGGTATCCTGAATAACTTACCTGGTCGACCCACAAATATTATGTTATCATGGTTTATCTTTCCTTTTAGAGAGTATTTTTGTTGGAAGTCCCGAGGTCGGATAAAATAATTGGGTTCTCTCTCATTAGATTATTTAATCTTATCTTGAATGATTTTATCTTGGCAACCAAACGAGGCCTTACTGTATTAGGTATGTTAGAAAGGAATGCAATGGAATTATTCTTTGGGTTACAACTTACATGATTACACCTCATTTAGCATAAAGAGTTCAAATTAATGGCAACTGGGAAATATTGGGTTTAAATTCAATTTTGTTCGATCACGTTTTTCAGCTTCTTTTCTCATAATGTTGTTAGATATGCAGAAAAATGTAATATCACAATATGATATATATATGTAATGTGTTGATGACCGACTGTTGATGCGTATATATGAGTTCCGATAGATGCGTTTTGTCCTCGGTAAATGCTCCGTCTCCAGCCATTTGAAAGACATATTTACCATTATTAGGGGAATAAAACGAAAATTGTGTGACATATAAAGAGTAAAAAAACAGTTCGTCCCCCAAATTACTATAGGCCCTCTTTTTCATGTTGCTTCCCGAACAAATTGGTTCTGGAGGTACTACGAATTAACTGTTTTATTGCATGGTCGCTAATTCGCGCCATTGATGAACAAAAGTCACCGGAAGTCAAAGCGCACGAGTTTGACATGGGTAAACTTGTCATTTCATTTAGTTTCTAACCTCAACAATATATCCAATATTTTTTGTCACCCGTTTTTGTACATCTCCGGTATTCCCTCGTTTTCTATTTTATACCTGGTTTGAAAAATAATGAAGGCATTTCTCTAAGTCAATTGTTTCAAGATTTGTGTAAGTTTCAGTCTCAAATCAAAAGTAATTTGCTTAGAGTTCTCCTTCAACTGATTAGTAATTCAGCAGTCAGCTGATATAGCAAAGACAGAGAGCATAAAAAATGATATTCAGCATGAATCACATAATAATATAGTGTCTTAATTTCATTAAAAAAAACACACTAATGTAATGGATTCAAGCATCAATGTATGTCTTTATTGAGAAAAAAATTTCAGTACGGTTAAACTTTTATAAATTAATACAGTTGGATTAAGGAAATTTTATTAATTTAGCGAATTATTAAATTAATTTAACACGTTTTCATCGAGTTGGGACCGAGATAAACAATTATTTAATCGAGGTTATTAATTTATCGAGGTTCTACTGTACTTCTTTTAATGGGAGAGATGCCCAAAATATTTTGCTCAATTTGAAAAAAGCGCACATCCATTTTGAGCCATTATTTTTTCCAATTATCTTCATTGTGTTACGCGCCCACATCATAATTGCGTCACGCGCTGGTCATCATATGTTTTGTTTTTCTTCTTTTTTTTATTGTTATTTTTTTAAAATTTTTGTGCATCATTTTTATTAATCGACTATGAAGCATAATCGATTAAGAAAATTCTTTAATTTTATTTATTTATTTATTTATTTTTAATTTTGTTTCTCTATCAGGTATATTGATCGTCTATGAAGCATAGTGGATTAAAAATTTGCTACTACAAATAACAAATTACAACTGCAAAAAAAATGCAAAATCAACTATATTTTACAAAAAACAAAAAACAACAAACATTATAATTAATTTATACAATTGGAACCAATAAACAAAAATCCAAAACCAATTAAAAATTTGAGTCGATTAACCTTAGTCGACTATCAGAGCATAGTCGATAAGCTTAATTGACTATTGAACACGCCCATAGTCTATTAAGGTTCAGCATGCGCGAATTTCTCTACCAGCGTCGTCCTCCGTCCGATCCACCAAAAAACCATAAATTTACATCCCGTTGTCACCACACCACACTATTCAACCAACCCCTAACAATAATAAAGTAAATAAGTCATAAAAAAACACAAATTAGCATTTCAATGTCCACCAAAAAAAAAAAAAAACATAGGAACAATCAAAGTATCTGTCAACCATTACTGGCCACTCTATAACCAATTTCTGAACACATGACAAAACCAACACTAAAAAAATGATAAAGTACAAAAAAAAAAAAAAAAAAAAAGTAAAAAGTAAAAAGTAAAAACTAATACCTTCATCAACATCAACCGCAACCGTGATTTTCTCATGTCTCATCTTCGTAATCGTCTCGATCCACTGCGTCCTCGACAACGAGCGCCACGTCATCAACTTCAGCATCGTCGGTAGAGACCACCGCCGCCAATTGCAGATCCGTCACCACCCTTCACGGAGAGGCGGGAGGCAGCGGCAAACGTTCTTCCACCACCACCGCCGTCGGTCGCCGTCAAACATTCTTCCAGAGTCGTCGTCTGATCTCCTTTTCCGACGACGTCTTGCTTTTCCTATGAATTTCTGTCGAGAAGAGAAGATGAGTAAAGGGAGAAGAGAGAAAGACAAATGAAATGGGTTAGGAATTTGAAACATGAAAATAAGATTTAATATGAATAAGGGTGGTTTGGGAATTATTAAAATAGCATTTTGGTAAAATATTAGTTAAGGGAATTTTCTCTAATTAATTTTTGAAAGGATGTTTTTGCTTAAATACATATTTAATGGGGGTTCTTGCTAATTTTCCCAACTTTATAATTCACCTCCTGCTATCTTGGATAAGAACAAAACAATTTTTTTTGACAAATTTATATAGGTTTGTTGGAGCCGGTAGCAGGCTGGTAGCCTGGTACACATTACCAGCATCCTCATACGTTGGGGACAGACCCAGTAAGAGACTGTTGGTGTTTCCTACATCTACAGAAAAGAGAAAAAAAAATAAAAAAAAAAGACATTTTTTTATTATTATTTTAATTTGGCATTTATCTATTTTTATAGACACCCCCACCCCTCCCAAAAAAAAAAAAAAAGAATTATTTTTATGTACTCGTAGTCCGGAAAAAAAAAAAAAAAATCTTTTCTTAAACCGCACCATATTCTAGCCCTCCCAACAAAAAGCTCTTGGGCCCGGCCCTGCTCATACGTTGTATTGTGGCACAATACAGTGTTTGGACGTAGTGGATCCGTACATGCTAAACCGTTGCATTGTGGAGGACCGAGGACTAGGGGTCGGGAATCAAAGGGTAGAAATTAGTAGAATGGTTGTTTTTCATTTTTATTGATTTGGTATTAGGATGAAAGCACCTCACATTGGCATTTTAATTATGCTTCGTCATTTTAAATTGCAAGTTAGTTTTTCGTTCATTTTAATTTATTAGTTTACATAAATGCTCTTTTTTACTCTTATTATTTGCAAGTTATTTTCGGAAAATAAAATAAAAACTTGCTATGTTTACTTGTATGTGTGCTTTCACACTAAAGAGGAAGTTCATGCAAAAAGGACACACACATTTTATTTACACACAACTGGAAATATTTATCTCTCTAAAAGCTTCTCTTCTTCTCTACATTTCTTCCTTTTTCCTAATTTTTTCACAAAATCACACACTAAAAATGTCCCTAGCATTCCAAGTTCGAATTTGAGAAAAATCTCCGTGTCCAAACTAAAATAAAGCTGGAATTTGAGAAAAAAAAATAGAATTGATATGAATTTGAATAATTAAAAAGGCTTAATGAAATTAAATAAAATTGAACACATTTTTATGATTATTCACGTAAAAAATTAATGAATTTTGGGTGGCTTTGATAAAATTATCTTAGAGAGAAGTTAGAAAGAATATGAGTAGAGATATTTTTTTTAATTTATGTGCGGGACTTAGTAAATTTTAGTGTGGGATTTAGCACGCACCTTTATTATACCATACGTTTGATTTGTTTCGATATCCATATTCTTTTTACGTCTTTTGTATGTCCTTTAAATCAATTATTGTGTGCCTTCGTGGAAAGAAAAACGTATTTCATGACTATGACTAAAGGTCGTGCTTAATGTCCACTGAACTAGTGCATCGTTACTATCAAACGCAGTCGAAATAATAAAATATTGACTGTAATCATGTAAATGAAATGTTTATGTATCTCCATCAACATTTATGTATATTTCTTTTCGTTTTCTGACAAATATAGTTAACAAAATGTTAAACGTCAAAATAATTAAAAAAAAAATAGTCACTTCTTCGCGTGAATTCACATGAGAAGATTACTCGCGTGTATTCACTCGAACAGAAATATAGTTAATATCACTGTCAATCATGCACATTTTCGTTAATCCATGAACAGGATCTATACATCTCGATCGGAAAAGAATCAAGAGAAAAAGAAAGAATCGGAATTGATCAATAGATTTCTCGAAACAAATGAAAAGAAAACGAAAGATGAAACATAAATCATGGATCAACTAAGCCCTCTCGGGGACTTTCTTAAAGAGGAACCTCATGCAAATACCATGGAATAAGGTTTGATCTTGATACTATTCCATTCCAAAAATGGAAATGTCGACACAAATGGGATTTTTTTTTGAAATTGGATGGTGGAATGATTTTGAATATCGATTTATTAATAAAAAATCTTCTCCAAGTTTTGAATTGTCCAAGCAAGAACTTTATGTAAGAGTTGAAGCACCAAAAGGAGAATTGGGAATTTTTCTGATAGGCGATCAGAGTGTTTTTCCTTGGAGATAGAAAATTCGACCGCCGGGTTTTATCAACTTGTAAATTCTTCCGCAGTTAGTTAAAAGAATGAAATTGACTGATATTATGACGATACTGTTGGAATAAACTTGAATAAATTCCATGGAACCGTCATGCCGAATCATCAAGAATATTGTGCATAAACATAAATTG